TCTCTGGTCCCCAGATGCTCTTTCCTCATTTGCAGCCTTCATCCAGACTCAGGTATTCCTCCTTCCCCATTTTCTTTGCTCAACTAGCTCTCCAAGGAGGGACAGGTGTAAGAAGAGCAATGCCTCCATCAGCAAGTCACCATTGCTTACAGGAGCTCCCCAGACTGGCGCACCAAACCCCAAACGCTGTTAATATCTGCCTCAATAAAAGCTACATGGAAACAAACAGGTTATACCAAAGCTCTCACCTTTTGCCTAGTTAACATAAAATATTCCCCAAATGACTGAGTAAACGGTGTCCTTGACCACCTGAACACATGTGCTCCCATGTGGACCCAAGGTGCTGTCTGAATGACAGTGACCAATTCTTTACCTTGGAGGCAGATCAGCCCACTCTGGAATTTATGCTGAAAAGTCTGGTTCTTCTCCAAAGGCCTTGGGGCTGGGACAATCCACAGCTCTTGGTCTGAAAGCTCCAGGCAGTGAGAAATGGAGCTGACTCCAGGACTAAAGCAATCAAGGGCTCATCTCATCAGTCCCTAAGGGGGTGGCATCACATTCACAGAAGGGCTTGGATTCCTGAATTTCCGGCTCCTGAATGCTCTGGCAAGAGGCACAGTCTTCAAGTGCACTTTCCCTCCCTTATGGTGGGGAGGGAGCTGCTCCCGTGGTCTGTGATCAGAAGGAGCTCAGCTCCCCAAATGAAACTGCCAGGCCAGCGTTTCCATCACTACTAGTCCTTACCACAGCGGCCCGTTAAAAGGTATGGAGCACTCACTTTAAAGATGCTTTTTATTGACAAGCATGACCTTCTTCCTATGAAGGAAATCAGGAAGAATGCAGGGTTTTTCTTTCTTTATTTAAACCCTATCTCCTCTATCAACTCTAATGTGCTTGTTCATTTAGAGCTTTGAATGTGCTTTCTTGTCCCCATGCCACATCCCACAGAGTATGAGTTAACATTTCGATCACCCAGAATTTTTCTTCTATAGAAGTCCACATACTGACCCAAACCCACCACAGAAATGAGCCCTCCATCTGCAGCTGTCACGGCCGAAGTGGCAGGTGCATTCCCCAAACTGTAGTGGCGACCCTCTCTCCACCCTCTCTTTGAAACAGCATTCCTGGGACGGTGATGTGCTCTGCATCCTTCCAGTGGCAGCTGACACTGCCCCCCCCCCCCACATACCAAAGGCTGACTCATGACCCACGTCGTAGCGCATGTGAGCTGCAGTGACCTCCACCCATGACTAGCTGCTTGAATTGCATCAGCTGGGGAGGTGTGGGCAGTGGGAGAGGTTCAGCAGCCAGTTGACCCAGTGTGGGGACCCTGGCTGCCTCCCAGCCAGAGCCCCAGGGCTCCGATTCCTCATTTAATTAAATTTTTTCCCCAAAGTTCACGGGACCTTGGACCACTTACTGCCATCATGAGGCCATCTTAGCCTGTATACTTTTCTGAGCTGGCCACTATGAAATTGGAGGGCATTTCCCAAATCACAGCCTAGGGCAGGGGCCCTCATTCCCTACCCTCCTTCAACGTCTCTTACCACAGAAATGGTACAACTGAGAATGACTAAGACACCACCATAGAAATGGCATAACTAAAAATGGAAAGCATGGCTAAAATTTAAAGACTGTCCTGGAACTAGAAAATTTGATCTCCCTTCCTATTCCAGGTCTGAATGCGCAGGTGGAAGAAAAGCCAGGTGGGCACTGACAGGAGAAAAAAAAAAATGTGTTTTCCCCCTCATTTCTAGATCTAGCAATGAGTGTCCAGATCAGAAACATCACTGGGCTCTCACGTCGGGGGCGTGAACGCAGGTAAGAAGCATCACCATTTGATGACAGTCTGTGTTGTTGAGGGTCTAGCTTTCATATGCTGACACTACTGTCTCGATTGCTTTAACAAGAATTGTGTCGATTCCATTTTTGTCAGTTTCTATTTGTCAACAAGGCACCATTTCTGGAGAGCGTGTTTGGCACCAGTGACCACTCCCCTTTCTGCCCTCCACCTTCAGAGGAGGTTTTTTACAAAGAAGCTTTGGGCACCCAAGCCTGTCCTAACCAGGCAGGAGGCAGGTGCCCTAGGGGAGCATTTGAGCACCAGGAGGGGTGATCCCTCTGAGGCCACAGTTTTTTGCCACTTCTCATAAATACCCAGTATTCTCGGGAATGAAGGGTGGGTATTGGAAGGAGAGCTTTAGGAACAAGGGGAAATAGGATTATATCAGTGAATCTGCCTCAATTAGAGGACCAGCAGGACCACACTGGGATGAAAAACAGAATTGAGAGAGTGTTCTCCCAATTTCTACAGAATTAAGCTCCAAACTACTTGACCAAAATTCAAAAATATCCCTTCCCCTTCCAAGATTTCTGCTCTACCCAAAGGCCTGGCCTAGAATAGAGAGCTATTTCTCTCCTCCCAATGAGAGATGAATAATAGATGCTCCTAGTAGAGGGCAGAGGAACAGAAACAATTTCTCCAAAGTTTTGATTACTGGAGATTTTATCTGTGGCTAATAGCAATTGCATTTTGCAATTTAAAATTCCTTTGGTCTATTGGAATTAGCAGGCACCAGTGATGATGAGATTATGTTAAGACTTTGGGAGGAACATTGACTATTTCAAAGCATTAAAATATATATACCATGCCTGAAGAATAGCAAAGCAAGAGGACAACTGGCAAAAACCTGCCAATTAGACCTTTTTTAGGTATCATATAGATAAGTCTATATTAATGCCTGATGGAAAATAGCTTAAACATAACACCTAAATTCTACCTAATTCTGGTCTAATAAGCCTTAAGTGAGAACTAGCATGATAATTTTCTTCTCCTTAAAATGTTTTCCCAAGCATTAGCCTAATTTTTAAAAATCCTACTATTTTATTATGAATAAACTTCTCACAAATGATTAATTATTTGTTAATTATTGATGCAATTTTTTCTCCCCCAAAAAGGTTATCTATCCTCTAAAGCAAAAGGTTATCTATTACTATAGTTTAATGTTGCATACTAAGTAAACATTTTATTCACCTAGAAAATGTAATTTGTCAGGGGAAATGTGACACTATAAGTGACCAAAACACCTTTGCTGCGGCTGAATATGAAAAGCTAATTGTGATGGCTAACAAGAAATCTATTCCAAGAAAAAAATAAAATTAGCCATAATTGTTCTTCTGGCTAAAGCAAGAAACTGAGAACAGCATTTCAAACAACCTCTTCTTTTTCCTGTCTTTTCTTTTTTTTTTTTTTTTAATGATGCAGAGCAATTGCTCGTCTAATGAAGGGACTCGGTAAATAAACTTACACATTACTCAACTGATTACTCTGAAATAGGGAATTTTCCCATCCCAGCAATTGCTCATCAAAAATGAGACAAGCCTCTTGCTCACATCAGACCCCACGATCTAAATGCTCATTGTTTAAAACAAATGTTACAGGAGTGGGGCACAGGTGCAGTCTAAAACCGCATTTATTGTCTATTGCCATTCATTTTCATCCACACGCGCACACACAAAAACAAAAATAAGTTGCCAAAATTGACTTCCTTTATGACCATTTCTCATTCATTGTTAGGTAAAGAACAAAGAGCATACTTATACTATCAGAAATGCAAGGGAGATTCCACGATCAGTATTTTCTTTCCTGTGCTCAGGTAAAACTATGGGAGAGAGAGCAATAAACACAAAAATGATCACAAACTTTCTCAATTCCGAAATCCCCACAAACATTCAACTCTCTGGGAGGCTTATAGCAGAAAACAAAGTAATTATGTTAGCATTAATAAACTTAGTGGTCTTTTTAAAGATACTTACAGTGAAAGCCTCTTAAGAATCACACTTCCGTCTGCACTCCCCTTGTGGTGTCTGCACTCCCCTTGTGGTGCGAGGTAAAGAAGTTACAGTAACAACCCTGCAAACACCCTGCCTTGTGATTAAGACCTCACCTTAATGCAGAGTTTGTATTTTGGCTTCTACGAAGGTTTAAAGGTTAAAAGCATCATAAACTATGCATTCGCTCCTATGCCAGGCCCATAAAAGGTGCTTTCACTGTTCATTAAAGATATTGTTTCTAAATGGGCAGAGGCTTTTTTTTTTTAAGTGCAGAAACAGAAACATTTCCATTATGTCTATTACTGCTTTGCTGGAGAGCCAAAACAATTTGGAATTAGGAAACTGCTGGAATCTGTTGTTCCAGAATGTGTAGCAACTGTCAACAGACACACTGAAATTACCACTCGCTCCTCGGACAGCGGTAGGTTAAACACAGCCGACCAACATGCCGGTCTCCTCCCAGGAGAACAATAGTCTGACAAACCCCACATCACCAGCAACAGTTGGGGCTTTCCCCTTCTGCCTGTGCCCCAAGTTCGAGATCTGAGTGGGGACCAGAGAGACTCGGTTCACACTAGAATATCCCGAACTCCTGCACTGGAGCAAGCTCTGTGTGAGGGATGCTGGGGTAAACTGCGCATTCGCACGCTTCCTTCCTAGTCGGCACCGTGATTTTCTCACTTACGTTTTGCCACCCCCTCCAGCTAAAGTGCAGTTCTAAGGGATTATTCTTTTTCTTTTACGCTTACGCGTACTGTATCTGCAGAAGGCTGAGCTCTTTTTCTCAAGGAGTGCCACACCCATTCATCCTCCAGCCTTCAGGAGCAAATTGCAGATTTGACTGGATCTGCCTCTCTCCAACCTCAGGCCAAAGGGACCAAAACTGGACACACGGCACCCAACTTCAGCCAGGCCACGACCACCTCCAGATCGGCACTTTGGCTGTGGGGGAGGATTATGGAGACAGACTGCTTGCTGTAAGCACCAGAGTTCCAGAGATTCTTTCCAGAGGACAGCCTGCACACCCTGACAACTAAGTGGCAAAGTTGTTTCTTCCTCCTTTGCTGCAATGCCCTTTCCTCTCGATCAGCTCACACATGCCCGCGGGCGCGCACACACACAAACACACACATACTCACACACACAGCCTTGCTCCTTCAACTTACCAGTTTAGACTTGGCGCGTTGCAAAAATTCTTCCATGTCGTTGCGAGAGGTTTGGACCGGGGGTACCCGGAGGGCGCGGAGGAAGATCCCCGCCTGGCGAGAAGAGCAGGGTCTCGGGAAAGTGGCCCGCCAGGGCGCCGCGGCTGGCTGCTCCCTCCTACCGCTCGGAGGCGGCTGAGGCTGTGGCTGCGCCCTCGGCTGTCGCGTCCCAGGGCTCTCCGCCCCACCCCCGCGCCCCGCCGCCCGCTCAGGCCGTCCGACTCTGCCCTAATAAGGAAAGTGGGTGTGACTCCCGGGAGCCCCGGGGTGCGGCCCGCACGCTGGCTGGCACGCGCCTGCGGGGCTGAAGCTTGAGGCCAGGGCGCAGGGGCGGGGATGTTGGGGGGATGGCGAGGGGCTCCTCGGCCAATCGCAGGGCCCCGCTGTGGCCTCCTGACGTGGCGCGCCGAAAGATGCTGCAACCATGGACAGCGCCCAGAAGTGCGAGCCAAGAGCAAGGGGCTGCTGCAGAGGGAGGCTCTGCCGCAGGCACCGACACTGTCAGCCAGGCAAGGTGGGAAGAGGGACAAGGGGGAAAGAGGCCCCGGGAGAGCCCCTCTCCTCAGCCAGCGCCCCCCTGGCTGGCTGGCACGTTACAGAGAGCTCCAGCGATCAGTTAATGAGCTGGCTCTGCTGGCCTGGCCAGGGGATGTACTCAGCCGGACTGAAGGCGGGGGTGGGGGTGGGGGACTGTGTTACCAAAAGCAGTACGACCTTGATGGAAAATAATCAGAAGAGCAAGCTGGGAGGTTGTGCTAGGCTGCATCTTTCTTCCTTACCAGCAAAACATACCCACCCAGCGACGGGCATCTGCAGTTCGCCCCAACTGGGTGCCCTTATGTTGGCCCTGGGGCTGATGCATAGATGCATCCTTCTGCAGTCTCCATCCACTCTCTGATGTGTATGCTCAGCGGAAGCTGGGGCAATTAAACCTTCCTAAGGCATAAGGGTCTGTGTTTCTACAAGATCCTCAGATAATTCTGTGCATATTAAAGTTTGAGAAGTACTGCAATAAACAATTCATAGCTATGAACCTTATTTTAAGCCCTAGAGTTTTGTTGTGTGTACTTTCTAGTCATATCAGGTCCCCAGATAGACTACCTCAGGCTTTCTCTTACATCTGGGCCTTTGCACATCTCCTTGTAACACCCTTCTTGCCCTCTCCCTAGCCTCCACTCCCTGGCTAACTCATGCTTCAGCTGTCAGCTTAGAGAGGTGGTCTCAACCCTGACTGCACATTAAAATTATATTATAATCAGCCTAGGCTTTAAAAACACTTATTCCCAGGCTCCATCACAGACGACCTGAATCAGTATGTCTGGGAGTGGGGCCACAGCATCAGTTCGGTGCAAAAGCGCCCCAGCTGATTCTGATGTGCAGCCCAAGTAGGATCCTCTGCTTTTCAATGGTTCTCAAACTTTAGGGTGTATCTGAACCACTTAGTGATCTATTGAAACACAGATTTCAGTGTCTCATCCCCAACATTTCAGGCTTAACAGGTCTGGCTTATGGGCCTGAGAATTCCCATCTTTAACAGTGTCCCAGGGTTTGCTGATGCTGCTGATTCAGGTAGTATACTTTGACAATAAATGGCTTAAAAGTTATCTTCCTCCAGGAAGCCTTCTCTGATGTGTTTCTCCCTTTTCACTCCCCGAATGAATCAGTTGCCCTGTCCATGTTCTCTCATAGCAACCTATATTTTCTACTCTACTATAAATTGCCTGATTATTGTCTGTGTTCTCCACCAGGCTGTGAGTTCCGTAAGAACAAGGATCTTACTTGTCTCATTCATCGATGTTTCCCTAACACCGTTCATGTCATATATAGATCCTCAATAAGTGTATTTTAATGAATAAATGTACATATGGAAGGTTTTTTGCTCTGTGTGTGTGTGTGTGAGAGAGAGAGAGAGAGAGAGAGAGAGAGAGAGAGAGAGATTATCCAATTATTTTTATCAGGAGGAGACAATGAAAAGAAATCAGCAGAGTCTGCAGATCTGATTAAAGGAGAGTGATAGGAAGATTAAGCCCTGATTTACATTCCGGTGATGAGCTGTGTGGAAGCTGCAGATTCTATCTGTTTCCTTGCTGACTTAAGTGATTTTAAAAACCCAAGTAAAACAAGTGTTTCATCAGCCTTTATGTCTGTGAAGTTGATCACAATTCAAGTAACATTACTGAGAAAAATTCCCAAGAATTCCTTGCCTCTGACTCCATTGGGGAATTTAGTGACAATCATATAATTCTGTATCATTCCTCTGCCTTTTGATTTTAAACATTCTGGGTAGATTTTATACAGCCTTGAAATTAAAAAAAAAAAATTCAGATGGGTTCAAATTCCACAACTACCTCTTAGAGTTTTTCTCCACCAACAGTGTCCCTGCAAAAGTTTATCAAAAGTTACCTCTTCCAGGAAGCCTTCCTGAACTGGCCACCTGTATTAGTTTCTTGAGGCTGCTGCAACAAATTACCACAAACAGTGGCTTAAAGCAACATGAATTTGTTATCTTACAGTTCTGTAGGTCAGAGTCTGACACAGGTCTCACCAGGCTAAAATCAAGGTATCAACAGGGCTGCATTCCTTTCTGCAGACTTTAGGGGAGAATTCCTTAATGAATGAATATTTTTTTTTTTTGCCTTCTCCAGCTTCTAGAAGCATCCCACATTCCTTGATTCATGGTGCCTCCCTCCATCTTCAAAGGCAACAACATTGCATCTCTCTGACTATTCTTTCATAGCCACACGTGCCTCTGACTCTCTTCTTCTGCCTTCCTCTTTCACTTTTCAAGGACCTTTGTAATTACATTGGACCTACTGGGATAATCTCCCCGTCTTAAAGTTAGTTGATTAGCAACCTTAATTCCTCTTGCCAGGTAACCTAACATAGTCACAGTTTCTGAGGATCAGCATGTGGACATCTTCAGGAAGCCATTATTCTAAGTCCCATACAACCCATACCCCAAGTTATTTGGTGGCTATCAACTTTTGATCCTCAGCTTCTTATCATTCCATAGCAGTCAGAAATCTAATGTCTTTAACTCTAGTTTAGAAATTGTCGACCCTGGCTGCACAGTGGAATCACCTGGGGGACTCTGAGAAATATTGACGCTCCAGCCCCATCTTTAGAAATTCCGAATTGACTGGTCTTGAGAGGGGCTCAGGCATCAATATTTTTAAAAAGCTCATGGGGTAGTTCTCTGTATAGTCAGAGTTGGGAACCACTGCTGATGTCAGATAAATTTGCATTCTGCTAGTCACCCAGGTACAAAACCTGGAGTCTAAGTTGACTTATAGCTTTCTCCCAACCCTGTGGCCAAATAGCTCCCAAGTCCAATGTCTTCAACCTTTGGAAAGGCCTCCTCCAACTTCTTTCCTCCCTATTCCAAGCGCCATCATTGTAATTCAAGTATTAGCATCTGAACCTCAAGTCTGCTCCCCATCTCTCTAGAGAACAATCCCATTTCTCTACTCTTTTCTTTTCATTCTCAGGTGTCTTGATTCCTGGATTCCTCTCACTGGAGACCCGCATCTTAATTCCTTTATTTTGTACTTAATTATCTTGAGTAGATTAGTAGAATGGTTGTTATGGACTGAATGTTTGTGTGTCCCCAGAATTCATGTATTGAAGCTCTAACCCTCAATGTGATGGTATTAGGAGGTGGGGCCTTTGGAAGCCAATTAAATTTAGATGAGATCATGAGGGTAGAGCTACCGTGATGGGATTAGTGTCTTTTTAAGAAGAAGAGAGACCAGACCTCTCTCTCCCCACCATGTGACAATACAGCAAGAAATGGCCACCTACAAGCCAGGAAGAGGGCCCTCACCAGCAACTGAATTGGGTGGCACTTGGTCTTGGACTTCCCTGCTTCCAAAACTGTGAGAAGTAACTATTGTTTGACATGCTCAATTTAGGTATTTTGTTATAGCAGTCCGAGCAGACTAATACAATTGTAGTGCTGGGAAAAGGAAGACTTTAGGATCATCTAATCCCAACCCCTTACTTTACTGCGTGGGTGCCAAGGCCCAGAGTAGTTCAATATCCTGCTGGGACTAACAGAGAGGCTTAGAAGCAGAGCCAGGACTGGAACTCAGCTCTCCATCATTCATCCTTTCAACATTTATGGATCACTGACTAGCTCAGGTAGGCATTATGCCTAACCCCAGGTGTATAAGGCAAGATCCCTGCCCTCAACGAGCTCATGGTCTAGTCACTATAATACAAAGAGATAAATACAATGACTGAGAAACGCATCTGACATTATACTAATTGTGATGCAATATGATGTCATGACTATAATCTGGATTCTTATCTTTTCAGTGGTAGATTAAACATGGTTACAAATTCTTTGACCCTGCTACCAATGACAGGTCAGGTCTATGTTCCCTCTCCTTGAATCTAGGAGAGTTCCATGACTTCCTGAGCAATAAAAAGGTAGCAGAAGTGACACCATGACAGTTTCTGGGACCAGGCCTTAAGAGATTGGCAGCATCCACTGTTTGTCTTCTGGAATACACACTCTTGGAACCTAGCTATCATGCTATAAGGTACCCCAAGCAGCCACATGGAGAGGCCCACACGGACAAGACCTAAGGACCCTGGCTAATAGCCCAGTTGCTAGCCACGTGGGTGAGCTGTCTCAGAAATAGACTCTAGCCCCAGTGAAGCCACCCTAGCTGATGTCATGCAGAACAGCTGTCTCTGCTGAGACTTGCCTAAATTCCTGACCCACAAAACAGTGAGATATAATAAAACAATTATTATAAGCCATTAAATTTGTGGGTGATTTGTTATGCAGCAATAGATAACCAGAACAACTGACCATTTACAGGCTAAGTAACTTTGGGCAAGTTATCCTCTCTAAACTTCAGCACCTTCATCTATAAAATAGGACTAATCCTCTCTCTTAGGATTGTTGTGAAAATTAAATGCAATAATACATGCACAGAGCCCTATTCCTGGTCCATAGCTGCCATTACTCTCATTACAAAGGGTCTGTCAAGGAGCAATGCAGTAGTTCACAGTGGAGACGGGGCTTCTATGAGGGGAACCCAGCAAGAGGGGAATGTCTGGGTCATTTGTGGATGGATCTGCAATCACCCACAGTGTGAAATTGTTATATTATATTATAGATATATTACATATTATGTATAATACATGTAATAGATTGTGTTATAATTTGTGCCTATCCTACACCAAGCAACACCTCCTTAAGGTAGCATTCCTT